AAAAGATATCTGTCCACGGACAGAAAAGAATTTGTGAGGAAGGAGGTGAAAACCCTTTTGGAGGCCGGCCACATTAGGGAGGTCCAATATCCCAAATGGCTCGCCAATGTGGTGCTGGCACCAAAAGGGGACACCTTTCGCATGTGTGTGGACTTCACTGACCTCAATAAGGCATGTCCTATGGACCCCTTTCCCCTACCAAGAGTAGATCAACTGGTAGATGAAACGGCGGGCCATGAACTATTGAGTTTTATGGACGCCTTCCGAGGATACCATCAAATTTTCATGCACAAAGATGATGCGGAATCCACAACCTTTATCACCCCTGAAGGAGTATATTGTTACGTGGTTATGCCTTTTGGGCTGCGTAATGCGGGGGCCACCTTTACGAGAATGATCTCTTTATTATTCAAGGAGGTCCTAGGACAGATCATGGAGGCTTATGTGGATGACCTACTGATCAAAAGTAAGCAAGCAGCGGACCATCCTAAGCACTTGGAGAAATGCTTTAGCATCATGAGGAAGCATAATTTGAGATTGAACCCCAAAAAATGTGCCTTTGGGGTCCAGGGAGGAAAATTCCTTGGTTACATGGTGAGCAAGAAAGGGATTGAGGTCAATCCGGACAAGTTGAAGGCCATCCAAGACATGGAACCACTAACAAATTTGAGGGAAGTCCAGAGATTAGCAGGGAGGATAGCGGCCTTAGGAAGGTTTTTGGCGCGGTCCGCGGAGCGGTCCCTGCCCTTTTTCACAATTTTAAAGGGAGGGGGAAACTTCCAGTGGACCGTAGAGTGCCAAGAGGCCTTTGAACACTTGAAGGCATATTTGAGCTCTCCACCGGTCCTCTCCAAGCCATTAGCAGGGGATGTCCTTTTCTTATACTTGGGGGTGGCCCACCTGGCAGTGAGTTCGGTCCTCTTGAGGGAAGAAGAAGGAGTCCAAAAGCCAGTTTATTACACAAGCAGGGCCTTAAGAGGACCGGAAACAAGGTACACTCCCTTGGAAAAATGTGTTTTGGCGGTGGTGGTAACTGTCAAGAGGTTAACTCCCTCTTTCCAAGCTCACCCAGTGAGAATCATGACGGACCAGCCTTTGGGAGCAGTTTTGAGGGACCTGTCTTCTTCAGGAAGGGTCATTAAGTGGGCCATGGTCCTCTCTCAATATGATATTTCTTACCAGCCCCGTTTTAGCAAGAAAGGCCAGGTCATTGCAGATTTTATGGTGGAGTGCACAGCAAGAGGGAAGCCAGAAGAGGATGGGACCGGTCAGGAGAGAAAAAGGGAATTATGGGAGGTTCATTCAGATGGATCCTGCACTAAAGACGGTTCAGGAGGAGGAGCGGTCCTCACCTCCCCTGAAGGCTTCAAGGCTTATCATTCCTTTAAGTTCACATTTCGGGCCACCAACAACGAAGCAGAATATGAGGCCCTCATTGGAGGAATCCAGATTGCCCTATTCATGAAGATAAAACACATTCACCTTAAATCCAATTCAAAATTGGCCATCGGGCAGCTAAAAGGAGAAATGGAGGCCAAGGAAGGAAGGTTGAAGAAGTACAGGGACTGCGCCAGGACTTTACTTGGACAATTTGAGTCTGATGAGCTCATATATGTTCCAAGAGAAGAGAATGAAGAGGCGGATATGCTTGCTAAATTATGTAGGACCATTCCCATCCACATGGAGGGTATGGTAAGGCAGCACGAGAGGATCTGTCCTGTTTGGGAAGAGGCGGTCCCTGTCCTTGAGATATCCGGTCTAGGTACAACTTGGATGAGCCCCCTGATCACATACCTTGAAAAGGGAGAGCTCCCTATTGACCCCAAGGAGGCCCGCAGAGTTCAATTAATGGCTCCCAAATATCAATTGGATGGGGAAAAATTGTATAAAAGGATCTTGGGGGGGCCGATGCTCAAGTGCTTGAGTGAGAGAGAAGCGAGAAGAATATTGGAAGAAGTACACCAAGGAGTCTGTTCTGCCCATCAAGGTGCCCTTACTCTAGCGAGAAAGGTGATACTCCAGGGGTTCTATTGGCCCACTTTGAAGAAGGATGCACTGGAGTTGGTGAGGAAATGCCCAACTTGCCAAGCATTTGCACCAATCCCTGGACGCCCATCCACCTTTTACACCCCTGTCACTACAGCCATCCCTTTTGCTAGATGAGGGTTGGACTTGGTGGGTCCTTTTGTCCAAGGGGTTGGAAGGAAGAAATTTGCCATTGTGGCGATAGATTACTTTACCAAGTGGGTCGAAGCAGAGGCCCTTGTGAAGATCACGAAGGAGAATTGCCGTAAGTTCGTGTGGAAAAATTTGTTGTGCAGATTCGGTGTTCCTGAGCAAATCATAACGGACAATGGCACCCAATCTGCCAGCGCGAGTTTCAAGGAATTCTGTTATGCGTGGAAAATTAAACTCAATCGGGCCGCCGTAGCTTACTCGCAATGCAATGGGCAAGTAGAAAACGCCAACAGGACGATTGTGGACGGCATCAAGAAGAGACTGCACGAGTTGGGCACGTCCTGGGTAGAAGAGCTGTCCTATGTGTTATGGGCCCATAGGACTACTCCAAGGAGAGCCACAGGAGAGACTCCCTTTGCCTTGGCTTATGGCTTTGAGGCAAAGGTACCTACCGAGGTCTTGGTCCCTAGCACGAGGGTGGAAGCATACACTCCAAGCCTCAATGAGCAATTGATGGAAGTGGACTCCCATTTCACTCAAGAAAGGAGGGACGACG